TTAAGATTAAGGTCAGTGTTGGTGCCCCCAAAACCCCAAAACCCCGCCTTATTATAGTTTCAAATATTTGGAAGAAAAAGGATATAGAAATAAATGTTAGGTATAAGTTCAGATTAACAATAATGAAGCATAGTATAAGCGGATATGTATGTCAAGATTATTCATTCTACTCGCTTTCATCACTTCCTTCTCATTCTAATTGAGCTAGTACTCTTGTGAGGTAATCAGATTTAGTCTTAAATAATTTGGCTCTTGTAAGAGCATGTTGTTATTATCTGCCTGCTGAGGTGGTGGGATACATACCGAAGTACTCAAGAATATCCTTGATCACATATAAGAAGAAGGTCATGTTGAGTTCAGCTTGATTCTCATCGTCTACACTTTGAGCTGGGTCTAGGTCTTCCTTAAGATCATCGAAGTGACTTAGTAAGAGAGACACCTTAAGCAAGTTCTCATTACTTAAGTCTAGATTTTTGAGGCAGTTTGTGAAGAATGGACCTAAAAACAAAAAAGTTAGCAAATCCTTTCAAATTATTTAAAGTGTAATATATCGAATGGGTTCTATGTATTAGAAACTTACTCAAAGTAACAGCATCAGTTAAAAGAGCTTGCTTTGCTCCTGCATAGAAGAGATCATCATTTAAAATGGTAGGGAATGAGCACCACGATTCACTGTTGTAGGTGGAGATGAGTGAGAAGAAAACTTTAAGAATCTTCTTTAATTTATCATGGCCATCGGCTTCATCAATCCAAGAGGCAGTCTCGACATCGTTCTCCTAGAGGAATTCGATGCAACAGGTGTTTGTATTCTTTGAGGTCTGGAATGCTGATGGGTCAACTTGCTTCTCACCATCGGCACCAGAAGCCTTAGCTTGAGTCTCGCTATCCTAGACTGCGGCGAGAAGTTAATCTCTGAGGCTTTTAACTATCTCAGCACCTTTAAGTTTCAAATCCTCAAGTCCAACATTAGATGGCTTAGTTTGATCAAGGAGAGACTATAGCTCCAAAACATGGCTTAGGACTTGTTCTAGATCAACTTCCTCTGCCTAGTTGTGACCATTCTACTCTGCTTCTTGTTGCTCTGCTACTTGTTGTTCTTCTTCTTATTCTTGTACCTATTCATCTACTTGTTCTTATCTTTCATAGGGATCTTCCTCTTATTCTTATTGCTCTTCCTTAGGTTACTCCTCTTCTTATGCTTCAACTTCTTCTTCTGCATTGTTTTCAGTATGATTATTTTCAACATCACCTGTAGCCTCTCCATTAAGTGACTATTTAGTATCATCATCTGCTTGAGAATTTATTTAGTCTTCACCTTAAGCGTTTTGATGAGTTGAAACAGTAGCTTCATTTTCATCATCCTTCTTCTCAGAGTCTTCATTCTTCTTCTTTCCCTTCATCACCTTAGGGACATTAGTTAATGTTGATGCAGTTCCAACTGACTGTCTTCTCTTTGCATCATCTACACTATTCTTTGTCTTATCAGTGGTTGCAGTTGTATTTGTGGTTGGAGATTAAACTTTAGTTTGGGTAGCAGGAGCGGTGGTCTTGGGTGCTTCCTTCTTTTCCTCCTTCTTTTCTGCTGTCTTAGGAGCATCCTTCTTAGTAGCTTAAGCAGCAGCTGCTTTCTTATCAAGTGGAACTACTTCTGTTAAGCCGCCAGCCTTTATTCTTAATTTCAAACTTTCCTCAATGGGGTCTGCCTCATCAGCAGCACCTTTCTTTTTATCACCTCCGAATCCAGTGCCCTTTTGGATTGCTGGAGCTGGCTTGCTAATTTTATTATCTTTAACAGCTGTACCTTATTTCTTTTCCTCAGTGGTGCCATTTGCTGGAGCTGTAGTGCCTGGTGCTTTCTTATCAGTGGTAGCATTGGAAGTTGGCTTAGTTCCGTTTTTATCGGCTGGAGCAGTGACTGTAGTTTTGATTAAACCTAGCTTCTTGGCTTCAGCTTATGAAATAACTTCTGAGATTCCACCAGCCTTGATTCTAAGAGCTAGAGATTTAGCGATTGGATCATCAGAATCATCATCTTTACCTCCTTTCTTGCCAGCTACTGACTCTTTTCTAGCGAACTGTGGCTTAAAGTTTTCTTATTTTTAAGCTGCGTCCTTGCCTTTAGGTGTTGGGACTGGATTAGGAAGGCCATCTGTTGATGAATCTTTTGCAGCGGGTGGGTTCTTTTTAAGTCCTGGCTGAGATATTGGGGCAGGTTTAGCACCACCAGGCTTGGTAATTACCTGAGTAACACCTCCAGCCTTGATCCTCTCATTAAGAGACTTGTCAATTGGATCATCTTCGTTATTAATCAAATATATATTTAAAATAGCGAACTTTAATGGGGTCTTTGTGTGCTGGTAAATCAACCAACCCAAATGATGTGATCGCTGTTAAGAAAACTTAGCCAAGCGGGTAGATACCCACAAATACCTAGAACCAACTAGACCCCTTGCTTTTAGATAACCCCTACTCAATGTAAGACACAAAAGCACAAGAGGAAGAAAAACGAATGCGGGAGGAATATGAGAAGTCACTCTCTAAATTTCATCTAGAACAGGATAAACCCGCCGATACTATCAAAGTTGAAGAGCATTTAGCAAAAAAAGAGACACCAAGTGCAGTAGAAAAGAATAATCAAACTTAGGAGGATAAAAAGAAGTAAGAAGAAGATGAGAAGGCAAAAGAAAAAGCTAGAAAGGTAGAAATTTAAAGATAGTAGCGTGAAGAGGAATATCAAAAGAAATTGAAAGAGAGAGCTGATGCAGATAAGAAGTTTAGAGAGGAATAGGATAAGAAATAAAAGGAAAAAGAAGCTGAGAAAATGCTTGAATAGTAGCTGTAAACTACTCCCTAGCAATTAGAAACACCATAGTAAACTAAAAAAGAAGAGATCACAACTGCTTCTCCTAATAAGCTACCCTAGACTAGCTCTACAGCATCTAGATTTTACAACAATAGTGAAGAGGATGAAAAAGCTAGATAAAAGCAACTTAAAATAGATTAATAGCGATAATTAAGAGAAGCTGAATATCAGAGAAAGCTGTAAGAACGTAAAGAAGCTGATGAAAAATTCAGAGTTCAATAGGAACTTAAGGAGAAGTAAAAATAACAAGAATTGAAAGAATAGGACTAATAAAATTCTTCATAAAAAGAGGAGGAAGAAAAATAAAGATTAGCTAAATAAAAGGAGCAAGAAGAAAAGGAAAGATTAGAAAGAGAAAAGGAATAAAAGAGGAGAGATGAGGAAGAGAGATTGAATAAAGAAAAAGCTGAGTAGGAGAGAATTAGACTTGAAAAGGAAGAATAGGAGAGGAAAAGATTACAAGATGAAAAAGTGAGAAAAGAAAAAGAAGCTGAAGAATTGAGATAAAAGTAGGAGAAAGAGAGACTAGAAAAAGAAGAAAAAGAGCGTTAACATAAACTTGCAGAAGAGAAAAGAATCAAGGAGGAACAAGAGGCTAAAAAGAGAAAAGAGGAGGAAGAGGAAGTATTAAGAAAGAAAAAGCTATAGGAACAAGAGGAAGAAGCAAAACGTAAGCAAGATGAAAAATTGAAAAGACAATAGGAGGAAAGAAAGAGAAGGGAGGAAGAAGAAAGATAAAGATTAATTGATGATTAAATTAGAATGAAGAAATCTTAAGAAGAAGAGGAATAGAAGAAATAAAGAGCTGAGTAGAGCAGGAAATAAAAAGAAGAGCAAGAATTAAAGAGATAGTAGGAAGAAGAGTAGAAAAAGAAAGAAAAAGAAGAGGAGCAGTTAAGATTAAAACAAGAAGCTAGACGTTAAAAAGAAGAAAACGAGAGACTTAGATAAATTGAAGAAGAATAAAAGAGATAGTAAATGCAAGAAGATGAATAAAAGCATGATGAGGCAAGGCTAGAGTAGAAATAAAAAGACTAGGAGAGGTAGGCATAACAATAAGAAGAGGAAGATAAGAATGATAATGATGATGATAGTGATGACGAATAAAGAGCCAGCACTGCTAGTAATAGTTAATAGCAAGACCCTAATGTTAAAAGCCCATCTGCTTCAAGTAAAATGTCAAAAGCAATGAGAAAGAAGGCCAAAAAAGCTGCGAAAGGATCAGGCTGGAAAATATGATTAGTCATAAGCAGTTAAATAAAATGAGTGATTTGACTGAAAGTTTTATTTAGTAGCTTCATAGATAGTAATTGAATATATTTAGCTGCATCAAGTATTTGCAAAATTCTTCAAAAGTGGGGTTTTGGGGTTTTGGGGTTTTGGGGTTTTGGGG